TTTATCATTTAGCACATAATAGAATATAAGGCATATCTCCTATTTATATTCATTTATCATTTAGCACATAATAGAATATAAGGCATATCTCCTCTTAATATTCTAGTGTTTTCCTCCATTAGGTATTCAACCTAAAATATATCGTATCATCTTTACTTAATAATTCTTGTTTAAGTTTAGAAATTCTTAAATTTTCTAGTTCACTTAAACTAATTTTCTTAAAATTCCGAAGTAACTTAATATCTTAGAATACTAGGGTTTATCACTACCCAATCCCCCACTTAAATATTTCCTATGGTTTGTATCCATATACTTATTATGAATCAGCTCATATATTGAGCTTCCAACAGTTTAAGTCTAAATATCAATCCGTGATATTTAGTTCACTTAAACCATTGCTCTGATACCATGATTGAAAGACCACTTTCGTATTTATGAAAGACCCAAACTTTCACACTATTTCAAAAGTTTTCTTAAGTTACTTCCTCAAAACATGCTACATGCATATTTATAAAACAATATTTTATATTGATAAAGTGATTACAAAAGATTAGATACAAACCGACTAAGTTTTATTACATTTCATGTCTACCCAGGAATCTACTATTCATATACATACATGAACATTAAAAATACAGAGAAATACTATTAACTATTCTAAATCTTTCAGCATTATACACCACCTGCAATTGTTAAATATTGAGAGGAATAAGCGATAACGCTTAGTGAATCCGATAAATAGATACAATATAATCTTATGCCTCATATATACTTCAATGTGGCAAAAGCAAAGACGAACAACAAGACATATGTGAAATCATGTGACAAGCGTTCATATCAATCAAAGACTTTAATTCAAAGATATACTTTTCAATGATACATAACAATTTCAATACTTGATATGCATCAATAAAGCTTTGGCCCAAATGGCACAGAAGACATATAATTTCTGATTATCAATATGATAAATTTCAGGTTTTCACGCCCTGTTTTACATTTCAGTAGATTTCAGTTTTTCATGCCCTATTTAACCATTTCGGTAGATTTTAGGTTTTCACACCCTGTTTAACCATTTGCTAATACCATAGAATAGAGTTCAATTCCCTTACAGATTCATGCTCTACATGGTCGGAGGCTACATACCATTCCTATCAAACCTTATGCCAATGCCATAGAATAGAAGTCATTCTCTTACGGAAACACGCTCTACATGGCCAGAGGCTACGTACCAGTACCAATGTGAATCTAAGTCCTTTCACTGATCACATGGTCAAAGGTATTATATTTGCTATAAACATAGCGAATAAAATAACACGGGAGAATAACTCAGAATAATAACACTGAGAAGCACATAGCACATATAACATATAACATATAATTGTTCCTATATATTGAACTCACATTAAGTTAACCGAGGGTTAAAATAGTAATTTGGACAACATTTCGGCTTTAAATATGACTTTCTATGTTGAAAACCGGGAGCTTAATTGAAAACCGGGCTCTGCGAAGGTAGGGCTTCAAAACCGAAAAGATAAAATTTCCGGGCTTCTTGGGGGACTCGGGACGTGTTTCGGGTGCTAAAATTGATATCGGGGCTTCGGGAAAAGTCAAAATAAAGAAAATATGGAAAAAGGGGACAAAAATGGCAATTTTTAAAAATTACCCGGGAGATCTCGCAGCCCTCCCTTTTATAGGGTCGAGATGTGAGGCCGGATCAGAAGGGCGCATCAGCAGCAGCAGCTAGGTGGCAGCGAGGGAGGAAGACACGCGACTTAAGCGAAGCTCGGACACGCGAAGGGGGCAGCTGGCGCTTCGGAATCCGGACCAAACACGCGTCAGACTTCAGACTTGCCACGATTCGGATGACTCAGCGAGATCGGACACCTGTGCGACAGGCGGCATTGCAAGGCGAGGCCACATCTCCGGTGACGCACCTGCTTCGTGCGAGGTTACTATTCATGCGAGATTTCTCGATTTTTGAGCCCCGAACTTATAAAATCCATAACTTTCGCATACGAGCTTCGTTTTTGACGTTCTTTATATTCACGCGTAGCTAAATTACGCTCTACGACTTTCGTTTAGACTTCGTTGGCTAATTTTGATTTTATTTTTAATATTATTATTTTTAACAGACCGGGACAGGAAAATCCGTTAAAAATTCATAACTTCTTCATCCGACATCCGTTTTCGTCATACTTTTTACCGTTGTACTACAAATGATGAGACCTTCGATTCTCGTTTAGGATGTATCGGTAAAATATCAATCAATCTAAAATTCGAGTTTTTAGCTGTTTACTGCTAAGTTGAAGCTTCGAAAAATCATAACTTCCCCATACGAAGTCAGATTTTGGCGTTCTTTTTATCGAATTTCTCGTTTTAACGAATAATACGACTTTCATTTAGATTTTTAAGGCTAAAAAGTAGTTTATCAAAAACTCACTTTTTACGTCATTCGGCACCGTGCCGGTTTTGTCGTGGATCTTCGGTTGGTCATAACTTCTTCGTTATAACTCGGATTTCGACGAGGTTTTCGCCTACAAGTTTCTAACAAGATGATTTACAACATCAAATAATAAAATTTTACTTATTTCAAATTTTATATTTTCGCCAAATTTCACTATTTGGCTATTAATTGGAATCTCATATGACTTCCAATATTTTATGGGTGATTCTAAATATAGTTTTACTTCATTTCTAGTAAAAACTAGCTGTTAGAACTCAACACTCAATTTTATTCACTTTTAATAATAACAATACACAATTTCAGAACGTGTATGTTACATAATGTGATTCGTAATTTTAAATATGAAGATTTAAATTCAATTTATGAAATGTGATGATAAAGTTTAACTGGACTTGGATCAAATACAATTATGCAATTCTAATTCATATATTTTTTGGAGATGGCAATAAGCTCGGTTGGGTCATAAATGGGTTGACCTGTTTAATTATATGGGATGAAAAACCCTATCCAAATCGCCCTGTTTAAATTTTCACAAAAAAAAAAACTTATTAAAATCAAATAATACATTAAAATAAAATTACATTCAATTTAAAAGCTATAATAATTATTCAAGTTTGAAAATTATAGAATAATAACTTTATAGGCCCGTAACCCAAACACAAATAAATATTTACAATCATAAAACATTATAAATGTTTCATTTCTAAATTCTATGCAACTGGACTATCACTTTATCAAATTTCAATACTGTCTATGGTTTTTGATAAATAAATATAATCAAAATATAATGATCAACTAAATAATACTATTAAATAAATAGAATTTTAAAAATATATAAAATTTTAAGAGGGATTGTAAGGATGTATACGAGTTGAAAATTTTAACCATAACCCAACTCATTTAATTAAACGAGTTAGAAAGGCTGATTCTTTTAACTAAATAAATTCAAAATCTCAACCCAACCCACAAATTATTGGGTTGTGGTTTCAGGTTGGGATTACCACCCGTAATATCTAGTTCTAAAATTGAGACACACTTTCACTCTTCGGCTTTATAGACCGATCGATCTTATTGATATTAGTATAAGATTTTGACCATAATATATATATTCGTGTATTACGTTAAAACTAGGGATAATGGTTTAAAAATGTAATATATTTTTTTGGTTTGTATACTAAGTTTTTTTTTTTTTTTTTTTTTTTTTTTTTTTTTTTTTTTTTTTAATTGTCCACATTTGACCATTTAAGTTGTTTTTTTTCCCACATTCAGTCCTTATAACCGACTATTCTAGGTTAAACCGGAAAAAAGACTTAATAGGGTTATATATTTTTCTGTTTGTACACATTTAGTCCTTATGATCAGTTTTTTTTTTCTTATGACATCCTACATGAGACAATTATTAATGAGGTGTTCTCATACGTGGCTCGTCCTTCACTTACATTATTAACATAATTCACAATTTGGTCAAATAATTTTGGTGCCTTAGTTTTCTCCAAGAAGAAGATGTATTCATCTTCGATTTCATTTATCTTCATAGAAGACGACGAGATTATTTTTCTTGGAAGTGCTAACTCGAGTTGGGTAAAAGCAATCATAAATAATCTCGTTGTCTTGGAAGTACAAATTCTTTTAGTGAGTTCCTTAATTCTTTTTGTCTTGGAAGAGTAAATTCGAGTTAGGAGGAAACAATCACAAAAAATATCATTGCCTGCTATGTAGATAGATGAGAACGAAGACGGAAACATCTTATTCTTGGAGAAAACTAAGGCACCAACATTATAAGACCAATTTGTGAGTTAGGTAACTAATATAAGTGAAGAACATGCCACGTATAAGAACATCTAATTAATGATTGTCCCACGTAGAATGTCGTGAACAAAATCTAAAGAAACCGGTCATAAGGACTAAATATGTACAAAAGTATTAAAGACTAAATGTGTACAAACAGAAAAATATATTACCCTATTAAATCATTTTTCCAGCTTAACATGGAGCAGCCGGTTATAAGGACTGAATGTGGAAAATAAACAAGTTAAATGGTCAAATGTGAACAAAAAAAAAAAAAAAAAAACTCAGTGACCAAATGTATACAAATCAAAAAATATATTACCCTTTTAAGTCATTATCCCTTAAAACTAATGTTTTAAAAACAGTTTTATAGTTGAACCGATCCGTAACCGGTTTCCGATTCAACTTGGTTTTATTATTCTTATGTATTTATATTTTCCTACTTATATATAAAACCAAGAATTTGACACCCACAAACATAAATCTTTATCATAACGAACATAACTATTAATATATATCAGTCTTCAAGTTGAAAAGGCCGGTGTCCGACAAGTGTCTAGTCTGTGCCGACATTGTGTACGGTAGTGGTGTGCATCACGACATTCGATTTGTGTACACACTGGAAAACATGATCGACCGAGTTGTTCAATTTTGCTTTGTAGATTGCTTGTTTTTAATGGACCGAGTGAAATCTAACTATCCAAGTCCAACAATCTTCAATCCTTGATATAAACCCATCGATAACTACCCTCAACTTCACAAAGCATCACCACCACCTTTGTCACCCCTACCAAGAAAGAAGCTCCAATCAATCACAGTTGCTAGATTCTGCTCGGTTCTTATCGGTATCAGGAAAGCTCTTAACAAACCTTCTAAAGACTCTTGGCCCTAAAAAACCCCTTTTGCCTGACCAACTTTATTGATCGAGCTCTAGACACTGATTATTGATATTGCTAAAGAAATGGCTTATGTGCAAGTTCGAATCGTGTTATTCCTCCTTATCAACCACTTTCCTTCATCCTACTTGAACCACTGTACACCACCTGTTTATCACCATCAACCACAATCATTAACCCCTTCCACTTACCTACACAAAAACAACAACAATCACGACCGTAAATCAGTTATTATAAATCATTATGACCACTTCTTTAATAGGCCTTCAATCATCACCATATAATCACCACATATAGTTTTCAGCATCATGCCATCACAACCCTTCATAATCAACACTTGACACCCACCGTTTTCACATTTGAAACTCGTAATAAAAAAAAAAGAAAAAAAAAAAGAATTGCACGGGTTGTAATTTGAATCAAAAGGTAGAAATAGATAGTAAGATACCTGTGTTTGCTAGATTAATAAAGTGAAAAAGAGAGATATTGGCTTCGATCGAGAAAGGAACAAGAAGAGAGGCTGCGGTATTCAATTTTTATTGGTGGTTGTTGATTGATTGTGAAGGAAAGACGAGTAAGTTGGGATACGAAAGAACTTATGGAAGAACATCCCTTCCCACTTTGTTGCAACGAGATTTGTGTGAGACAGATAAAAGAGGAAAGGGTAAATATCAATGTTCTAAATAACATTAAGTGTGACTTGGCGGCAATATCAAACGTCAAACTTTTTCGACCCGTGACAGTCATGTTGTTTGTAAGGCCTGACTTAAGGCAACCATTTTGTTTACAATATATATATATATATATATATATATATATATATATATATATATATATATATATATATATATATATATATATATATATATATTCTACTATTATTAATTTTTATATACATATATGAATTAAGACAAAATTTTATTAAAGCTTGGCAATAAATATAAATCTTGAAGCAATGACGAACTTTTTAAAATCTTGGTAAATATGTAAATGTTACGGTAACAAGAGCCACATCATATTCAATTGATTATGTGACATATAAAACCGGTTATTTTTAAGTTAGATGGATAAAATAAACATGTTAAAATCCACCTTATGTCTTCATAAAACAACAAAAAAAGTTTAAATAGTAATTAGATTAATTCCGAAAACATTATAGAACTACAATGTCATTTTTTATATATTTAGAAGACTAAAAGTGAAGAATCTTGATTGCTTGGTGTAACAATATTTTTTAAAGGTGTCTAATATATTCCTAAACTACTTTATAATTTCATTTATGTCCACCATAGAACTTGAACTTTCAACTTCAATAACAACCTCAATAAGAGAAAATAACATCAAATATCAGCTTTATGTATTACAGGTTGTACGTTAGACATGAAATAAGAGTAACTTGGGTATCTACACTATTATATTCCACAAAATAGAATAATAAAAAGTGAATGAAAATAAAGAAATAGAATATAATTATTGATGGCAGAATCCCACTCCCCGCAACAAGATTGATGATGGTCCATCGCATTACAATATGATACAAATGGAAACCTTGAACTTGCCCATATTAGGTACTATATCTCTTTCATAACAATAGTAAAAGAAAACTTTATAAATATGTTTTTTATTGTTCTAAATATATTAAACTTTCGATAAAATTTGAGATCAAATTCATCTACTTATTGATTGCCAGTTATTAATTATAAAATACTAATCATACTCATGTTGATTGAAATTTTGACAATTTTGTTTATTAAAAATATATTTTAAGTTTTGATCTGTTAGTCACGTATTTTTATAAACTTCTCAAATATTTGTATTAAAATTTTCTATTAGTATTTATTTCACAAAAACCAGTTGTCACAAATATGCTCAGTAAATAACAAATTTTAAAGCCTTTTGTTTTCTTCTAAAAATTAACTAATTATCCTTAATATTTCTCTTATTTTATAAAAAAACCTATCATATACTTTATCATCATACTTTTAAAAAAAATATCATTAGTCGACAACATGACCGTTCTAAATATACATTAACCTTAGAGCAAGAAGAAGAAAAAGGACCCCCAATGTCGAATATAATAAAGATTCGATAAAGATAATATTTAGAAAATAATTAATAATATCATCAAAACACAAATATAGTCATAATATTTATAAAAAACAACAAATTTAATGAAAATACCTCTTGTAAAACTTGTTTATGGCATGTATTATTACATGAAATACTACGAAATGCAATGTCAAATAGAATGGATTGTTAAGTTGTAAAAAATAACTCAAGTGCGGGAGGGCAACGTACTTTGAAAACACACCGTGAAACTAAAGGGGAACGAGGCACGAAGGAAAGTACATTGCTATCACTTAAAGTACATTGCAGAGTCGCGACATAACCATGCTACTAACGCAACACGACGACTGGTGTGAGGCATCAGATACATGGAAAACGTGTGTGACACGTGGTGAAAGCATGGGGTTGTAAATCGACCATATAGGATTCGCGACGCGATGTCTCCCTAGGAGCAAAAATATATGCCATACATATGTAATTTGGGAAACCGTTTGGGAAAACGGAAACTAGAAATAAGATGACGAAAATTGGGGTCGAGAGAAAGGTGAACGTTGGAGATACTATCAGAATACGTGCCACTAAGTGGGTTAAGGTATTCTTTTGTTACATCATTACGTAATTATATTTACGTTGTGTTTTGTAGAGGGTTGTTAGAGCTCATGTATGTTATTAGGGTTGTGGGTACGTAATGTTTAGTCAATGGTTTACGGGATCAAACCGTTTGACAGTTATATTATGAAACTGGACGAATTTGGTAACAAATGGTTAGTTTTCATGCAATTGATCACTATGGTTGATATATGGTCACATTAGACATGTTTTATTAAACTTGATATATTTTTGAAATTGGTCTGGACAAATAATGAATTAGAAAGCAATACAGAACTGGAGACTAGAATGATAGTTAGTCTTCACTACTAACCAGGAGTAACCACATTTCTTTTCTAGATAAATATTATCTAGACATATGTTTATTATTGTATTGTGCTAATTACGTGATAAATACAATATTATGATTATTAGAAAATATTATGCTATGAATTTAGAACATGTAGGGTTATGTATGGTTGAAAGTTACAGTGAATCGGTATGATTAACGCTAAAGCAAATTATTGCTATATAAAGATAAAATTGAAAAAGATGGTCCCTATGGTTGTCAAAATTCTGAAGTTTTGGTTCAAAAAGGTTTGGTGGTGCATTAAAGGTCCAATTTTGGATATTTTTAGTGATTGTGGTACATATACACTTAAAAAGATGAATATATTCCTAATATTTGATTTTTTTTTTTTATATTTTTTGTATTGTTTTTATTAAGTAAAATTAAAAAGGAGTCCACCCTATCTCTTTTATATATATATATATATATATATATATATATATATATATATATATATATATATATATATATATATATATATATATATATATATGCCACCACCACCACGACCCATTGTCAACAAACTTCTTTTCAACCTCCACTTTCCCCTACTATCACCGCCAGATGACGACATCTCCCCCCATTGCTGCCGACTACCATTCTTGATGGAAAAACATGCTGAATGGATTGTACATGGTTCACCATCATCACCACCTCTTCCACATGTATGGTATTCCATACTTAAACCTAAACAGTAAACCGTAAACATTATTGCGTCACCCTACCTAAACCACCCGCCAACACTGCCGCCCACTGCAGTTCATCTGGATCGAGATACAAATCTGTGTATAAACGAAAACATTCGTTGGACTGCCATTTGGAAGCACCTATACCACCCAATACTACCGCCAATCACAACGATTATTCATTACCTACACCCACTGTCGAGGGAAACGCACATTGAACACCATTAAAATCACCATAATCAACCATCTTACCTGTAATCACCGTTGGAGTTGAGAAACCACCATCGACCATCCTACCTGCTACAAATCACCATCCGTATACCACCAAATTAAAACCACACCGAAAACAACCACCTTCATCACCCCTGCACCATCGAGCATCACCTCATCCGAAAACCACTACAGAGCAATATTGGATTAGGTATCTAACCCCATAACTATAATTGGTATAAACTTGATTTGATAATAGCACAATCCTTGTGGGTTGCCTTCATACTAGCAATTAGATAGGATGACCTATTGAGAAAGAGGAAGAATTTATTATTTGATTAATAAATTGAAATGAATGATTTATTAATTATGGGAATAATATATTAACTGGAAATTATATTATTTAATTAATAGTTAATCAGAAACTAATTGAAAGTAATTTTGCGATTAATTGTATTAATTAAATGTGCAGGGGTTGTTTGACAATTTATTGATAGTCATGGAATTGGGCTATAGAATCCTCCTAGAAAGGTTGGACGGAATTTGTTCAAGGGCCTATTGGATGGAGTTCTTGGGCTGCTTAGGCCTTAAGTTAAGGAATTAGGGTTTCCTCCTTAAAACCCTAGTTTTGGCTCTAAACTAACACAACTATATAAATGGTTATACGCCTCATGATTTTGGCCATTCAAAACCTTAGAAGAATAGCCAAAATTTGAGGCTTCCTCCTCCTCTCTCATATCTCATCCTCTTGCTAAGTGTGTTTGCGAACCACTAAAGGTGCAACACTTGTGGTGCTTGCTACCAAAGGTTTTCAAGGATTAAAGGTTTTCAAGGAGGAATTCTAGATTTTTTACTACAACAATCTTAAAGGTTGTTTGCTTTTTCTTATAAGTCAATTAGATTATAGAAAAGTTTTATAACTTAGGGTTCATAGTATGTTGCTTTACTTGAAAGACAGATCCAATTAGGTTACTTGTGTCCTAATCAATTGAATTGTTTGATTGTTTTCCGCTTAAGGCATTGTAGTTGTAACCCCTAAAACTCATCAAGAAACACCTCATCGAGCCTCCTTATTCACTAGAAAAGAATGTCCGTGGTTCGCCACCACTACCTCAACATTATTGCCTATCAAGTTTATCCAGATCAAGATAAAATCTCGATCGAGTAAGCTGCGTCCACCACTAATGAAAGGGAAAGCGATGAACACTGGTGGCGGAAAAGAGATAGATCTATTGTGTCGATCATGTTTTGCAGATCTGGAAACACGGGGGTTTTGTAGATGAGAACATCGATGACATCGAAAGATCTATGGAAGGTTGGATTTTTGAACGGAGGGTAAGGGTGACAACGACGAGTGTCGGTGGCAGAAGACGATGGTCCGGAAGGTGTTGGCTCTACAGGTGGAGGTCAAGGATGTTCCAACAGATGGTGTTCCATATGTGGTACCAGTGATGGTTTTGTTGTGTGTGTAAGAGAGAGAGAGAGAGAGAGAGAGAGAGAGAGAGAGAGAGAGAGAAAGAAAGAGAGAGATAGAGAGAGAGAAAGAGAGAGAGGGAGGGAGAGAGAGAGAGAGACACACACACACATATAAAGAGAGAATGAGGTAAAAGTATAACTTAGGAAGGGTTTGACTTGGATGATATTTTCTTTTTTCTTTTTTAATAAAAATAATAAGAAATTTAACAAAAAAATAAAAAATAATTTTGTAAGGGCATATTCGTCTTTTCAACTCGGATGTGGACCAAAACCACACATGATATCCAAAATTGGACCTCTAACATACCACTAAACCTTTTTGGACCAAAATTGCATAATTTTGCCAACCACAAGGACCATTTTTGCAAGTTTGTCCTATATAAAACAAGGAGTTGGTTGAGCTCCATTATAAATAAGTTATATAGATTAAATGATTAATCCAGTTGTATTGGTTACTGGTAGTGAAATGTTGGTGAATTCATTAATGGCTACAAACAACAAGGAATTTATATAGTGAAGTGTTATGGTGGAATGGATATTGATAGTTTGGTTAATGACCATTGTATTGTATGAGAGGAGTTTTCCACTATATTATATATAACATTGTATATTTATAGTACAGTAGGATGTTGGTGTATCATTAGTGTACAAATATGTATTAGACTAGAGTAGTCTTGTTGGTTAACCGAAAGGTAGTATGATGAAGTTGTATGCCTCGAATGGGAAGATGTCAAGAATGGTATTGTATTGTGACTCTATATACCCAAAAAAGATGGTAATATGGGTGATTATAATACCATCATTTGAGGAGTAAGATTCAATGACAAACTTGGTGTTTGTAACACTATACTTGTATGTTGTTAGCAAAAAGTTATGGTAGTTTGGGTGACTGGAATACCATCATTTGAGGAATGCAAATCAATGGCGAACTTAATGTATGTAACGCTATTCTTGTAGATTGTTAAGAAAGAATTAGTGGTATGCTTGGTGCTTTAATGACAACTAGATTAGCATTAGTTAATAGTGGTATGCTTAGTACTGTAAATACCTCTATGTTATCTTGGATGAAAGTAATAATTTTAGTGGTATGCTCAGTGCTATAAATACCAATATAATGGAATTTTGTTAGTAATGATGTTCTTGATGACTATAATATCATGGACTAATATAGTGGTGGTCTTGGTGACTGTAATACTACGGTAATGAGATTAGTTATCAGTGGTGGTCTTAGTGACGGTAATATTACTGTAATAAGATTAACTATTAGTAGTGGTCTGGTAATACCACGATAGTGAGATTAATTGTTAATGGTGATCTTGGTGGCTATAATACCATTATATTGAGACCAATTATTAGTTATGGTCTTGGTGATTGTACCATCACACAGTTATAAAGATGTATAAATGCTTCTATGTTAGCATTGAATTATGATAGCAACCTTTGTGGTCCAAATGCTATATTGTGCGAAAGAATACATTGTAGTGAAAGTTCGTATGGTTGTAATGCTAGTAAGAGAACTGTTTTTTAGATGAAATGGTCGTTTGTTTAGTATTGATGATACAAAGAAGAGGTTAATTGGAAGTGATAGTAGATAGCTTGGCTATAAGTCTACTATAAAATTTTAATGGTTGGTACAACAACCAGAAGAATTATATACTAATACTCAGGTGTATGTTGATTGATCGAATGGAATATTAGAAGTTATACGAGTTGTGAATATCATGATATATATTAGTGTGTAACTATTTATATACTGATGTTGTGGTTACTCACTAAGCTCATTGTAGCTTACCATTTTGTTGTGCGTGCGTTTCTGATTCAGGTGGCTTTGTAGAAAGAAGTGGAGTTAGTAGCGTCCAACTGGGATTCTTACATATGATTATTGTAAGATCTTTTTGATAACTACTTGTACTGATTTGTGATACGAATGTACACCAAATTTGTTATAATTCATGTTTTGAAAATGAAAATTTTTGAGTGTATCGTGTATTAAAAAGTCGGGTGTTACACTTATTCTAGTTTTTTAGATGCAAAAGCATTGATAATTATATCAAAATCAATTTTATCTAACATATATTTTTCTATACGTAATATTGCAAAACCATTTAAAATTTCTTATGATATTGATGACCTTAGTTAATGTCGATTCACAAGGTCGAGGTCATGATGTTGATTCAGTTACCGAGGATATCGATTCGATTATCTATTCATAAGCCGCCCATAATCGGCTAATTTGTGCTTCCATCATTCGGTTGTTCTCATTCTTCCCAAACTGCAGACACTTTTAACCAGAAGCAACCCAATTTGTTTTTTGGGCTAACTTATGTTTGGACTAACACTGAGCCCTAAAAACATTTAGATTATATATATATATATATATATATATATATATATATATATATATATATATATATATATATATATATAAACACTACATAGGCTAAAATTTTTTGCCCCCCTAAAAACATAAGTAGTCGCCCACCGTCTGACCAGCCTTCGTTGACAATAATATAGCCCTTGTTGACAGTAATATTTATAAGGTTATGTTTGACGTACTAGATGAAAAGCTGACTGATAGCTGAAAAGCTAGCTGTTAAATAAAAAGTTAGCTAATAGATGAAAAACTAGCTGATAAAAAATGACGTTTGGTAAAACTAGCTGAAATATATAAAATTACATAAAAGGATGTGTGAGAGTATGTGTTTCTATAACTAATTGAGGGGCGCATTTGAAATTAAAAAAAAAAAAAAACTCTTAAAAAATTAGTCTAAGTAGCTTTTCAAAAAACTAGCTTATAAGCTATTTTTTAGTTTACCAAACACAACAATATAAAAAAGTTCGAAAAATAAGCTAATTTATCAACAAACTGTGGAGTGTCAAACACAGTCTAAACATTGAGTGTGTTTTTGGATTTGAACGGTCACCCACCGTCTAGACCAGCCATGGTTAACAATAATATTTCTAAACATAGGGTGTGTTTTTGGATTTATGCGGTCGCCCACCATCCACAATAGTAATTGAAAAACTAAAATCAATTGCTTTGTTTGATTTCGTAATCCACTTTTAGATTGTACAAATTTGTAATGTTTTCTGTCTAGCCACTTGCTATTGTTTGTTTTGTAATATATTCACGGCCGCTTAAAAACCATATTTTAATAAATAAATAAAAACAAAATAATATCTAATAAAAATGTTTTTTCCTATTGTTTTGAAAAATTTGACAATTATTTTTTATTAATATAACGTAAGCATCAAAATAGACAAACTTATAGAAAAAGTAAGGGGCTGAACTGATTGTTTTTGAAACCCATTTAAAAAGATATCAAAAGTTTTTTTTTTTCAAAAATTATAAATCTTAAAAAAAATACCTATGATATTACAATAAAATATTTAAATGTTTTATTATATGACAACTTGAATCTAGACCATGAGGGTGGGATCTTCTAACCCATTCCTCCCCCTCTTCTTGTTCACGCATGCTCTAAAGAAACAACCAACAAACTTTTGTCAAAAAGGGGTCAAAGAAAAAGAGGTTTGTGCATACAAAACAAAAGTAGTAGGCCTCCATCGACTTTAAAGTAATAAATACATTCTTGGTTTCCTTTT